TAAATTGGGCAATGTGGAAGAAATGGAAAAATTCCTAGATACATATAAACTATTAAAACTGAAATAAGAAGAAAGAAAAAATTTGAACAGACCTATAACCACTAAAGAAATCAAATTAGTAATCAAAAATCCCCCCAAAAAACAAGAGTCCAGGGCCAGATGGCTTTCCAGGGGAATTCCACCAAACATTTAAAGAAGATTAACACCTATTCTTTTGAAGCTGTTCCAAAAAATAGAAATGGAAGGAAAACTTCCAAACTCATTCTATGAAGCCAGCATTACTTTGATTCCAAAACCAGACAAAGATCCCACTAAAAAGGAGAACTGTAGACCAATTTCCCTGATGAACATGGATGCAAAAACCCTCAACAAGATACTAGTCAACCGAATCCAACGATACATCAAAAGAATTATTCACCATGACCAAGTGGGATTCATACCTGGGATGCAGGTCTGGTTCACTATCTGCAAAACAATCTATGTGATACATCACATCAATAAAAGAAAAGACAATAACCACATGATCCTCTCAATAGATGCAGAGAAATCATTTGACACAATACAGCATCCTTTCTTGATAAAAACCCGGAAGAAAGTAGAAATAGAAGGATCATACCTTGAGATCATAAGAACTATGTATGAACGACCCACTGCTAATATCATCCTCAATGGGGAAAAACTGAGAGCTTTCCCCTTAAGGTCAGGAACACAACAGGGGTGTCCACTGTTGCCACTATTATTCAACATAGAATGGAAATCCTAACCTCAGCAAACAGACAACACAAAGTAATAAAAGTCATCCAAATCGGCAAGGAGGAAGTCACACTAACAGGCACATGAAAAACTACTCAACATCACTCATCATCAGGGAAATGCAAATCAAAACCACAATGAGATACCACACCACACCTGTCAGAATGGCTAACATTAACAACTCAGGCAACAACAGGTGTTGGCGAGGATGCGGAGAGAGAAGATCTCTTTTGCATTGCTGGGTGGGAATGCAAGCTGGTGCAGCCACTCTGGTAAACAGTATGGAGGTTCCTCAAAAAATAAAAAACAGAACTACCCTATGACCCAGCAATTGCACTACTAGGTATTTATCCAAGGAATACAGGTGTGCTTATTCAAATGGGGCACATGCACCCCAGTGTTTATAGCAGCACTATCGACAATAGCCGAAGTACGGAAAGAGCCCAAATGTCCATCAATGGATGAATGGATAAAGAAGATGTGGTATATATACATACAATGGAGTATTACTCAGCAATCAAAAGGGATGAAATCTTGCCATTTGCAACTATGTGGATGGAACTAGAGGGTATTATGCTAAGCGAAATTAGAGAAAGACAAACATCATGACTTCACTCATGTGGAATTTAAGATACAATACAGATGAACGTAAGGGAAGGGAAGCAAAAATAATATAAAAACAAGGAGGGGGACAAAACATAAGAGACTCTTAAATATAGAGAACAAACTGAGGGTTGCTGGAGGGGTTGTGGGTGGGAAGATGGGCTAAATGGGGAAAGGGGCATTAAGTAAGATACTTTTAGGAATGAGCAATGGGTGTTATACATAGGGGATGGATCACTGGAATCTACTCCTGAAATCATTATTGCACTATATGCTAATTAACTTGGATGTAAATTAAAAAATAAATTAAGAAAATAAAAATAAATAACCTAGTATCAGAAATAAATAAACAATGGAACACCAAAAAAAAAAAAAAAGAAAGAAAAAAGAAAAAGAAAGAAAATTAAAAAAAAAAGGTAACATATTGTAGGACTCCATTTACATACAAAGTGCATAATAGGAAAATCAATAAAGACAGAAAGTGGATTAGTAGTTGCTTAGTGCTGGAAGAATTGGGGGCTAGGAGGTGAAATCTAAATGGCATGGGGGTATTTTTCTGGTGATAAAACTATACCAAAATGGATTATGGTAACAGTTGTGCATATCTGTGAATATACTAAAAATTATGGAACTGCACATTTTAAATGGATGAATCCTATGGTATGTGAATAAAATCTCAATAAACCTGTTTAAAACAAAACAAAAAAAGCAGCACATGCTTTACCGAGTCAGCCAAGCATCCCCAGAAATCACTTTTTAAATAAATAAAATACAAGAAATTAAGTTGAAAGCCCCTAAATTTCCCTTCTAAATTTCATTTCCCTTTAGTCCTAAAAAGAGCCAACATATTTAATTTAATGTGTTAGCAACACATTTTTATCTTCTACAAAGAAAATATAGTGTTGCATGAGTGTTTTTAATTCACATAATTGCTACTGTTAACAAGAAAACAGGCCCCAAATGGAGTTGCTTATGCTAAGCCTAACCACACCAAACCAAGACTTAACTTACAGTTTCAGCCTGTCCTAGAAATGGAATCCTACACTCATCAATCAAGAATCGCCTGATCAGCAATAGCAAGGTAATCTACCCGATAGATCTCTGCTACCTCCTAAAGGAAAGTGACCTCGTTTGAAGCAATTCACTTTTTGCTACTATTCCTTGTATGTGCTCCCTTCTGCCCCTAAAAGTCTTTCACTTTGTACACCTTCTCAGAGCTCCTTTCTATATGCTAGACAGGATACTGCCTGATTCATGAATCACTGAATAAGGCCCATTAGATTTAAAAAATGTACTCATTTGAATTTTGCTTTTTAATAGTATCATACACAAGGTATCATTCTGACACTTGTTTTTTTCCACATAAATTGTTTTCAAAATAGGGGCGCCTGGGTGGCTCAGTCGGTTAAGCGTCAGACTTTAGCTCAGGTCATGATTTCACAGTCTGTGAGTTTGAGCCCCACGTCGGGCTCTGTGCTGACAGCTCGGAGCCTGGAGCCTGCTTCAGATTCTGTCTCCCTCTCTCTCTGCCCCTCCCCTTCTCATGCTCTGTCTCTCTCTGTCTCAAAAAGAAAAAAAAACATTAAAAAAAATTCTAATTGTTTTCAAAATCTACATTTATATTTGAATGTAATATATTCACTCATTTGAACTGTTCTATAGAAGTCAACACGCATATACTAAATATTTTATATATTTCAATCTACTCATCCCCTTTTGATAGACGTTTAGGTTTTTTACACTTTATGTACTTATAAATGACTGCAACGCGGGGGGCACTTGGCTGGCTCAGTCAATACAGCATGCAACTCTTGATTTTGGGGTTGTAAGTTCAAGCCTTACTTTGGGCATAGAGCATACTAAAAAACAAAACAAAACAACACAAAATTAAACAAAACAAATGGTTCACAGTACATGTTTGTATTGTAGGGCATAAAAGCAGGCTGCCTCAAAATGGGCCCCTTTCGTATGAAGATGATTTTGTGTTAAAAGCAATCAAAACCCAGAAGATTCAAGAAAAGCTCTTTACCACCCTCTTCAACTACCTGAAAAGAATTTAGATAGAGGAACTGCTCCAAGAAGAAAACTATCACCAGAGATAAAACTATGTTATATTATGAATTGGTATAATAGACAGGGGGAACTTAGCAAGGCCTGTTTGATCAAAGCCCTCTATGCCCCATTGTTTCTGAGTGGCCCACACACATTTCTTTCCTATACCTTTAACTCTTTTTCATCTTCCTAAGGGTTACATTCATTTCCTGTGAAGTCCCAGACGCCTACCTACTTCTCCTTATTTCAAAAAGACATATATACCTCACTTTGACTGTCTTTGGAATTTCCTTGTCTGTGTGGATTTCTCATGTGTATGAAATTAAATATGATTTCCTCCCATTAATCTGTCTCATGTCAATTTGATTCTTAGTCCAGCTAGAAGGACCTTGAATAGCAGAAGAAATTCTTCCTTCCTGACTGTATAGTCCCCCTTGAGCACATGCATGAGCACTTCTCTTGGGTAATCATGCAGCTGCAGAATGGCTGGAGCATCCCATGGGATAAACATTTTCACCCTCACTAGCTGCTGTGAATTCCTCCTCCCACAGGGGGTTCTGTCACCTTTCACTCACACAAGCAGAGCATGAATGCTCCCATTTCCTGATATCTTCACAACATCTAGTTCTAGATATTTTCCCTGTTGCAGTCCAGTAAATGTTAAACACACCCTCATTGTTTTTTTTTTTTTTTAATCAGCTTTACTAAGGCATAATTTACATGGAGTAAAATTAACAAGTTTTAAATGTATAATTCAGCAAATATTGACAAAACTATACATTTGTTTAAACATGACTGTAATCAGGGGCGCCTGGGTGGCGCAGTCAGTTAAGCGTCCGACTTCAGCCAGGTCACGATCTCGCGGTCCGTGAGTTCGAGCCCCGCGTCGGGCTCTGGGCTGATGATGGCTCAGAGCCTGGAGCCTGTTTCCGATTCTGTGTCTCCCTCTCTCTCTGCCCCTCCCCCGTTCATGCTCTGTCTCTCTCTGTCTCAAAAATAAATAAATGTTAAAAAAAAAATAAAAAAAAAACATGACTGTAATCAATATACAAAATATTCTCATCACCTCAACTCCTAAACCTCACCCACTATCCCTGAAATCACTGATCTTATTTCTGTCCCTCCAGTTTTACCTTTTCCAGAATATTCTATAAATGAAATCATACAAAATTTATCCTTTTAGGTCTGCCTTCTTTCACTCAGCATGATGCTTTGAGAGTCATTCATGTTATTGCATATGGTCTATTCTTTGTGATTGCTGAATAATATTCCATGGCTACAGATGAGTTATAATTTGTTTTCACTGTGATTTTAATTCACACTGTCCTGATTAAAGTCGAGTGTCTTTACATGTGTTTTTGGCCATTTGAGTTTCTGTTTTCTAAAATGTGTTCTCTTTGCCCATTTTTCCATTGTGTTATCTTTTTATTTTCTCACCAATTTAAAAATTATTATTTGTTCTTTATGTCATTATCTGTATAACAGATTATAACCATATATACATATACATATATACATATATATATATATATATATATATATATATATGAAAATAAACATCTAAAGCCTAAACTTTAATTGTCCTAGGAGAGAACAGTTAGAAGCTTTTCACATCACTAATGTATACAGCAAAATAAATAGGGTAGGCATTTGGGTTAAAATCAACATAATTTACTTGCTATTCAGTAACCCTTTTCATTATAAAATGCTTCTTTCCTTGGGAAGGGGGAGGTGGGTACCGTGTTCTCTACTCACATGGAAAAACTTAAACAGGGTAAATTAAAATATAGCAAGGGGGGAAAAAGATAACCCAATTCTATTTGATACAATTATCTTTCCATTTTAATCAAACCACATCATGCTTATGATCAATAATTGAATGGAAAATGTCTTTCATCTTCCATACCCAACACAAAACTGCTGTAAGAATTAATGAGCAGGTTCCCCCGGTGGAGCACACGCACATTATTTCAGCTGTGCATGCCCTCTTTCAGACCAGAAGCTCACTAAATGTCACTCACCCCAGCCCTGAGCCCTCCTGAGGCTCATCCGAATCCCTCCACTACCAGGCAGCATGGAAACACGTATCTTAAACCTCTTCTTCTCACAACCCCATATTCTTTGGTTGTTTCCTATGTAGGTTTCCTGCCTGCAGGGGCTGTGTGCTATTTCTCACAACAATCCCCAAACCACCCATATCATCTTATTAAAAGTACAATAAACAGTCTCACAAATCCCCTTTATCACACCCTAGTTCAAGTCCAAGTTGTTCTCATTCCCCAAGTGGAATACCAACTGGTCCTGCTCTCTGTTGCAATCCACTCCTCATGCAACAGCTAAAGTGATTTTTTTACAAACATAAATCAGATCAACTTGCTTGAACTGCTTGGATTCCTTTGAAGTTCCTACAGTGTGCTTTAAATTCATATTCTTATCCATGACCTGTAAAGCCTCACAGGATCTGCCCTAACCTTACCTTTGCCAATCTCTCCCAAGCTCCCTGCACTCCAGCTTCTAGCCTTCTGTCAGCTCTACACCATGCCAAATTCCTGCCTTCCACAGCGCCTTTCCGCTCCCTGCCCCTCTGCCTGGAACCCTGGTCTCCTGGCTTTTTTCCTGTTTGCCTTCTTCCCCTTCTGGCTCGGATTGAAAGTCACCTTCTCAGAAAAGCCTTTCTAAAAGTAAGTTCCTCCTTTCATTTTTCTCTATCATAATCCTTTGTTTCTTTCCTCTAATGATTTTATTTGTTTACTTATTTATTGGCTGACATTCTCAGTAATGGTAGACTCTGGAAGGCAGGGAATTTATCTTCATTTTAATGCTTACCACGGTGCCTGGGATTTATAAACAGCTCAATAAATATTTGATGAATGAATGAATGACTCCTTGGAGTCAGAACTACACACACACACACACACACACTTCACTTCGAGTCACTGGTTCTTGCCCTCTCTTATATCTGGGAGCATAGCTTCAGACCCATATGTAGGTAAATTTTTTCTGATACTGTTCTTTTCTAGCATGAATCTGGTCAACAAAATTATTTAGGAGTTGCACAGAAGGTAATTCCTTCCCCAGTGCACACAGGGCTGGGGCGGGGGGGGGGGGAGAGGGGGGGGGGGGGAAGCTACTGAAAATTCCCTTCCTCTGCAGACTTTTTAAACTGCTAATCAGCACAAACGGGTTGGAGCAGATTGCGCACAAAAGGTTGCTGAAATGGCACATAACTAATTCTAGGTGATTTAATATCTGACATTGCCCTAGTGAAAATATTGACAAAAAAGAATATGATTTGGAGTCTTTCTGCACTGCTGAATTTGGTGTTAGCTTTTAAGCCTCTATCAAAACATTTCCATAAATCAACATTGCTAAAAAAAAAAAAAAAAAAAAAAGAGAGAGAGAGATCTGGGTGTGGCATCTGGAAACCACTGCCAAATTAGGAAAATGCTAGCAAATGGCAAAATGCTAGTTTTCTGGGTATGAATCGCCGTATTTAGCAATCCTTTCCCAAATGTTCCACTTTGTCAATGTCAAAGGTTGCCTCCAGCAGTGTTCCTTGAGTGTCCAATAGCATCTTATGCCTATTGGAGAAATAAGCCTCCCAAATATATTGTCGATACCTATGGTCAGTTAAGAGTCATAGAGAAATATGAAGTTCCAAAGCTTGTGGTAAATCCACATCTTACTATTCCAGGCATCTATCAGCACAAACTATTTTATGTTTATTTATGGAAAGATCTGTTATATGTTGACTATCTTAGGGTACAGAGGCTATTCTGGTACATTATTTCACAATTCACGCTCAACTGCTTTACCAGAGTATTCATTTTCATCCTTCTCATGGACACTTTAAAAAGAATACACAAAAAGTAAGAAGATTCTTTTCAACTGTCATATAGAAAAGTCAACTGTAGATTCAAAACAGATCAATAAAAACAAACTGCAGTTTTTACAATTATTCTGCCATACACCCTCAAAGAGCCAAAGCTTCAAGCTCCAGTAATACTATTTTCCCCACAATACCTCAATTCAAAACAGTACCATTAGTCATGGATTTTTCTTTATGTATTTTAAAAATTTTATTTTTAAGTAATCTCTATACTCAACATAGGGCTTGAACTCACAACCCTGAGATCATGAGTCACATACTCCAGTGAATGAACCAGCCAAGCACTCCTGAGTCTTAAAATACTATCTGATTAGTATTATTCCTCTAAATACAGGGGTATTTTTTAAACATAATTTTTTGTTTATATTTTCTGCCATATTTTGGCAGGTAGGACTCAGATCTCACATTCTTGGGGGTTAAAATATCTCTAAAGACATTTATGCCCATTTAGAACATTCATTATACCAATTTCCAAAGCTTTAGGCTGGAAGTTGACAAATATGATGAAGGTGACTATTTCATGGAGCCAAATAAATAAAAAATGAGTAGAAATGCGGAAAGTAAAAAAAAACAAACAAAAAAAAAACAAAACAAAACTTCTAATTCATAAAATGGCGAATGCAAGTAAACTTCACTATCACATCATTTCAATAGATGGCAATGGCATCCTTGTCAAAAGTCAAGTTGTAAAGCTTTTGAGAGTTACGCTTCAATGCACAGCAAGGTTTTATAATTAGTCACTTAGTATGAGGCCGAGAAATAAATGTCACTTTTCGCACTTAACAAACATACAGTGGTATAAGCTAATCCATGACAATTTTACAAGGTTTTCATTTTGCTGAAACATGCTTGCTGAGAAAGCAGAGCCTAAGACAGTGAATTCAGCATAAGTGAGGTTATGTAGATTTACAAAAGAGCAGTTATGTACGTGTATGTTATGTATACAAACACATGCTACGTGTTCAAATTCTCAACTTTATAGTCTCTGTCTATATGCCTTGTCACTGTTACTGACTAGGTGCACATGATTAACATTTGTAAGGAGTAAGTTCAGAAAATAAAGCCAGGATATTTCATATCACTGCAACTATTGCTTTTTCAACTCTACTAACACACTATGCTTTCTCCTACTGAACTTTAAGAAGTTATATTTTCTGTATTTCTAGGTATTAATGAAATACCCACAGTAATGAAAGAGAAGAATGCATTATACAAGATGCTATCGGAAGCAAGAACATTCATCACTGAGTAATACTGTGGATATTCATTTCCCTACCTTTTTTAAAAAGTGAAATTACTGATGTAATTAAAATGCAATATATAAAAGATTCAAGAAGTCGATTATGTAAGTGTTAGTATGGCTAATAAGAAAACAAAAAGGAGGGGTGCCTGGCTGCCTCAGTCTGAAGAACATGCAACTCTTGATCTTGGGGGGGGTCATGAGTTCAAAGCCCATGTTGGGTTTAGAGATTACTGAAATTAATAAAACTTTAAAAATTGTTAAATGAAAAAAATTTTAGAAGTGATATTTGTAATGTACCACATGGGCTCAAGTCTCTAAGAAAAGCACAAAATATTTTCACTTGAAAAATGGATGACTATTACACAAACAATTTAAAAAATCCTGGTATTTCATCATCAGCTCTTAATATTTGATGACCATATCATTACTTTCCTTTATTTTTTCCCTTTTCTTCATTTCACAAGCATATTAAGTCTAGAGAACCAACCACACGACAGCCTTCTCTGCATTATCTGACCTTCTAGGACTGAGAACTAGGTCCTAGAAGGGACCACAGAGCACAGAGTCGGCAGCACGCTGAGACATAAAGGAGAAATTAATGCACCTGAATAGCCAGGGAAGTGCTGTGCTTTTCTGCTGGGAACCTCTGATTTCCTGGTCACCTCAGAATTGAAAAGCACATCCCAAGGTCATAGGACTCAAACATCCCTATGATGGCTCTGGATGTCCATATCCCCTGACTTCCCAATCAAGCAGGTATTAGGTTGGCTCCCTAAAATAGAAATATGGTGAAGGTACCCATCTTCCACCTAGGTGTGGCTTTCTCTAAGCCTATGCCAAATTAGGGAGGGCTCCTGTTTTATATAATACATGGATAAATAAGCCTTTCAGAACTTGAGAAAGGTAATCAAATCACATTTTATCACACAAGAAGGTTTTCTCTAACAGCACAAGATTACAGTGTAATAAATCCTGATAAAAATTAATTGCTCATTAATTAGGGCTTGCACATTTATTTTGCTACAGAGAAATGGTAATTTCAATGGAATTTCTTCCTTGTCTTTCAAATCCTACCTCTTCCCTGGCACTTTTAATAGTGCATAAACTGGAAGTAATCTTTCCTGTTCTGATCATATACTGTCTATACATTCCTTGTGGCATGTTTGGTCCTCTATTTTACATTCCACTTGAGTACATGTCCTTAATTATACTGGAGGTTTGTAACATTTCAGAGTGTCAGACTGCAAAAACCGCATAGATGTTAACACTAATACTATTTTGTGGACATATATTCAGTGGTAACTGCAAGCATCTTCAGGCCAGCTACTGTATCTGATTCATCTTGGAATTCATCCATCCAGCAGAGAGATTTTCACACTGCAAGAACTTCACAAATTTTCATCTAATGGTTAAATGCAGGAACCTCATAGGATAAAGGCATAGAAGTGTGTTGAGTTTTTCTAAGGGATGTCTTCACCCTCCTTGAATTGGGCTGCATGTCCCAGACACTGTTCTCAGTCCTGCGGTGATCTTAAGAAGTCCTTTGGGATGATCTAAGTGAACATCCCCTTTGCAGTCTCTTGTAATCCTTTTGACTGTACAAAAAAGTAGGAGTCTCCAGGAGGTCCTAATATAACACTAACAACACTAACTTTACTAATCTTGCTATTTTATGGAGGCAACCCAGAACCATCGGCAGGCAACACTATCTAGCTAGCATTTAATGACCTTGGACTGTTTTCATAGTTTTAACATTTGTAGTTACCTGTCTTGTTTCCCACTGACACTGGGGTTTCATTTACAGTAATGAAATAAAACCTCCAGCTTAAGGCAACATATTTTTTTTTAATGTGCCGTTAAAAAATGTAAGTAAATTATGACAAAAATACTGAAGATGGTGTATTTCAGGGAGTCTCAGAGAATGGGAGATGAATGAGTGACCGGTTATTACAAGAAGAAGGAACAGCAGGAAATCTATCTGGGAAGACAGGAGTGCTAAGAAGGCAGGAACAGCAAGCTATTGGGTAAAAGGACAGGTCTCTAAGGATACAGGAAAGTAGAAGGGAATAATGAAGGCTGAGTCCGGCTGAATGTGGAAACCAAGTGTGACAGTTACTTGGCCTGCAAAGTAGTGGGGAGCGAGGGGAAATTTTCGGGAAGTAAGTGACATCATGGTCAAAGTGACAAGCGAGAAAGGGGATTTTAACAGTGACATTTAGACCTTAGTGGACAAGAATAGTTACAAAAGGCAGAAATCCAGGGAGAGGGAGGCTGTAGTGGTCTAATGATTCAAAAGCTGAACAAGGAACTATCCGGAATAGTTCATGAGAAATAAGTCTCAGTGTGTCAAGGAGAAAGGTGAAGCAGGCTTTGTGGTCAGTTAAAAGTAGAGAAAGGATGCACAGGACAGATGGAAAACTGCTAAAGCAAGACTGGCCAAGAGGTGCTCTTTGCTATAGTAAAAATGTATTTTGCTAGACCAAAAGAAACCACAGAAAACTTCTGAGGATTGCCTGTGTTTCAACAGTCCCAACAGTTTTTAATACGACTTTACAGGTTGTATCATCTAAAAACTTACATTCTCTGAACAAGGAAACATTTTATCAATGGCTAAACAATTTGTCATTGCAATACCTTAAGACAAAATCAGACAACATGAGTTCCTTTAACCTCTCTGAACAGGATTAATACCCACCTTGCTTAACCACCTTGTTTTTATAAACGTCACATTAAATCATATTTATGTGTGCCTCTTATTTAAAGGCAATTGCCAACATTAGCAATATAGAATTAAATTCACCATACCATAGCACTTTAGAGTTACATATATTGCATTTTGCCTGCTGAAAGAGTTTTTGAAATATGACAAATATAGTGCAATACTCTGTAAGTGCTTTTGGCAAGACTGCAGGAGAAAAACATCCACTCATGTTTATCAGAAGGGTGGGATAATGTAACAGAGGTGGAAGAATAATAGTATGCATGGCTCCCAAGCACTGAGAGAAAAATGGCATGCCATAGCAGGAAGAATATGATGGGAGGGTGTGAGGAAAGACAGAAGTAGAGGCATTGAGAACACAAATTGAACCCGTATCAGGCACCGCAGTAGTTGTTCTCCATCCATTATCCGTGAGCATTTGAAGAGAAAGAAACAGCCCAAGACAGCTCCCTTGCTGTATATTCTTAACCTGCTTCTTGCTCTGCGCTCGCAAAGCACTGCAGGAAGATAGGAGAATAATGTTAGTATTTGTCACCTGTTAGTCCCCTTTCCATTACAATCCTGCTTCTGGAAGTTACAGGTAAAGAAAGGCTGAAGCCAAATGCACAATCATCATTTTGGTGCATGAAGCCTGCTTCCTTTTTTGTTAGAGGCTATGACAGATAAATAGAAGGAAACGGAGAGGCTTTTTTCCATCCCTCCTCAAGCCTAGTGCCTTGTGCAATCTAAGTAGTCAACTCCCTGTTTCCTAGCATTTGAGTTTCACCATGGCCCTTCTGACTCTGCTGGGGTACCCTTAGTTTTCCTGAGGTCAACCCACTTCCAAGATGAATGGAAAAGAGTTAGGATAAATGCAAACAGATGACAGATACAGAGCATCAGAAAAGCCCATCCCACTAAGGAATCTGAGCCTGAAGTGTCCTCACCTAACTCGCCGCACAGCCTCTCACTTCTATTCTCTCTCCCTCCAGGCATGGGGGCCTCTGGCTAGCCAAAGTTCACTCTCCTGTCACATTCCCTTCTCTCAAAGTCGTGTGTTCTCCTGTGGTTAACAGATCTAGGAAGTAGGAAGAGAAAGGAGTGTCCCTTTGGGGCACAGCGTTGTTCCACCTGTTCCATGTTTTCTTCCACTTTGGTATCAGTCATGTGGTGAGTAAATGGTATCACAGTGGGTTTAATAATTCTCTTATTAAAGAGAATTCTCTTATTACAGAGACTGGTGTTTGATTGTTTGGACTACAGTGGAAGGGAGGCTGAACCTGCTTCAGGCCTAGTCTTTACAAGAACCAACAATCTTCTAACTTGGACTTGTGGAGCTCTGAGCCATCATGTGCGAAGTCTAATGACCTACTTGAGAGACCAGAGGAATGACCATGTGCTACATGAAAAGAAACAGAGGTCAAAGAGGGGCCCAACTGAACTCAGTTCTGCTTGAATGTGCATAACACCAGACATGCAAGTGAGGCCATCTTGGGGCCACTAGGGAAGCCCGGCCAAGCCACCATCTGAACACCATGTCACCCCGGTTGTCACCAGGTAGGTCACCACCTTAGCCCTCCCTGAGTTCCTAATCCACAAAAGCATGACCCACAAAAGCAATTTATAAAATTGATGTTTAAGTTACGAGTTAATAATGTGCCAAAAGATAACCCGACAGTGTCCCTTTACATTTTACATAAATTGCTACATAGTCACAATTCAAACTAATTTTTCATCATTTTCCCTCTTAGCTACACATAAGTCTCCAGGTACTTTTCTTCCAAACGATAAGCAACTTGTGTATTTCCCCCAAGAATCTCATATGCAAAGCACATTCCTACTGAGGTCTTAAACAGTTTAAAGCCATATGGTGAATTCCCCATGCACAATTCAACAAAAATAAATGATGAAAATAGCATGAGCTCAATTTCAGAAGTCAATGGAATGGTGATAGTATTTACAAAGCATGGCCTCCCTAAGTGATAGTAACAAAAAAAAAAATACATTATGACACGCTTGCAGTGCAAAATCTTATCTCCAAACGATAGTACCTGGGCAGTTATTAGTGCCTTGCTTCTAGAAGAACATCTTGTAAGAGGTTTGGGGAATTTAATAATCCTGTTTTGTATTTATATGTAACATTCTTAAACAGGTCAGTATGAAAGATGATTTCACATGTTTTCAAATTAATGATTTATATACCTATAGGTGATATACCAAAATATTTTTTAGTTTAAACTACTTTGTAGTAACTTCTTAATGACTCAGGATCACACAGAGAGCCATCATGATTTGAGTTGCCTTTTTCCAGCCTCTCCATTCTCCTCCCTTGCTGAGGACATGCTAGCTCTAACTTCTTTTGCCTGTGAACGAATCTGCAAAATTTCCATCATCT